CTTTGGCTTAATTTTTTAAAAGGGTTAAATTCTTTCACATCTCTACACAATTAGGAAGGTATGTAATGCCACTTGTAATATATGGATTTAAAAGAGACATCATAAATATTCAATAAATTATATGGTATATAGGGTACAATATGGCATAGAATAAGTGAACAGAAAAATTAATTTGTGTGTGTAATTTATTCTTATTCCTAATAGCTACAGACATCTAAATTAAGTTTACTTATTGGAAAAAATTCTAATTTGTTAGAGTTATACGTTTTTATTCTTCAGTGAGAGGTCTAATAACTCATTTTGCGAAAATACACCTCATTCTTTCCAAAGACTCATTTAGTTCCGTTTTATATCATACAAATTTCAAATAAAGGAATCTTTAAATAACATTCTCCTATTAGATTTGATGACTAATTATCCCATTTCACCTTTCAAATCAAAGTTTTAGAATAATTATAAATGATAAATTTTAGAAATTAAAATCCAAGAGAAAAGACACTTAAGCCCTGTACATGGCTATTCTAATCTGTATATTTTGAGCCTGCATACAAATATGATAAAGTTCCAAATTAAAACCAAATCACAGCAAGTATGATATTAGAATCAAGTTGGCTACTGGCTCTTTCTCCTCTATTCCTTTCTTCCCTTCCCTTCCCTTTCCTTCCCTCCCTTTCTCCCTCCTTCCCTCCCTCCCTCCCTCCCTCCCTCTCTCAGTTCCTTCCTTCCTTCATTCTTTCCTTCCTTCTTTCCTTCCTTCCTTCCTTCCTTTTTCCTTCCTTCCTTCTTTCTTTTCCTTCTTTTCTTTCTTGTTTCTTTCCTTCTTTTTTCTCCTTCCATCCTCTTCCCTTCTTCCCTCCCTCTTTCTCTCCCTCCCTCTCTTTCCTTCCTGTCTTTCTTCCCTTCCCTCCCTCTTTTCTTCCTTTCTTCCTTCCCTCCTTCCTTCCCTCCCTCCTTCCCACCCTAACTTCCTTCCTTCCTTCCTTTCTTCTTTCATTCCTTCCTTCCTTGCTTCCTATTATGCTGATCAGTTCTACTTCTGGTTAATTTGAGATCAAGAACATTCTTGTCTGGGTTGGCTTCAAATCTCAATCCTCAGATCTCAGCCTCTTGGGTAACTAGGATTTCAGGATTTCAGGCATGAACCACTGGTGCCTGGATGCTGATAATTTTTTGAGCAGACCTCAGATTCAAGTTCAATGTGCACATTGATCCCATATCAAGCACAAGTCAGGTAGAAGCCTATTAGAAACATCCTCTTAGTTTATCGACTAAACAGCTAAAACAATTGCTGTAACAGTAAAGCTTGGCAAGCTAATTAAATGAATGATAACAAAATCTCAGCAGGGAAGTGTCCATTAATTGAATTTATTTGGGAGCATGTTTTCACAAGTATAACCAAATCATCTAATTTTCACTCACATTAAAAAGTGATAGTCTATAACAACTAATTAGTAGAGAAGAAGGAAATGCCAGTACTATAAGCCAATTACTGATGAAAACAAAATTACTAACACCAAAAGCCTGCCATGATGTTTGACAGCTTTCCTATACATTCAATTAATCATTTTTTCCTTTGAAAATATGTCAGAGGAAGTCACCGAAGGAAAAAAATCCTACTATTTTGTATGTGGAATTGTTTTTAAATCAATAATATTTGTCCCTCCATTACCCTTTTTTGAGAGTAGTATGTATATCAGTAAGAGTGTGAAAGAAGATGAAGTTCATGTATCATAGGTGTAATGACTGAGTTCTAACATTTCCATATCAAAATTATTGTCTTCTCATTTTCTTCCTTAATATAGTACATGGTCTCTGGTATTTAAAAATATTTGTCATTGTTTTCAGGTTTGAAGATCAAAGAATTCTGTATTAAAGCATGTTTTTCATCAATCTTCAAATCTGAAATGAGGCAGGAAATAATATATTCACAGGTTTTCTGTTTTGACTTAAACAGTATCAATGAATTGGATATTTGTTATGATTGAGCAAATCAGATTCCCATATGCATAAAATGTTAATGATAAAATTTAACTGTAGAGTCAATGAGATACTCTTTAATGTTCACATGTTCAATATAAATTTAAAATTATAAAATCTATCACTAATATCTTTAACCTCTTAATGTGAAATATGTTTACTCTTGATACACATTTGACAACAATATTATGGAAAAGTAAAATGATGGAATCAAGATCATTTTAGCTTAAGTTTATATAAATTCTAAGCAGTCTTGCTTAATTTCAATTTAATATGAGTCACTAAACTCTGGATAAATACATAACAACAAAATATTATTTTAGTCTTATGACTTGCTTTTATCCTAAGGAAATTTGTATCTAAATTAACTAAATTAACTAAAATTGAATCATAATGTGCAACAATATTCTAGATTTAAAAATTACTGAGCTTTTAAAACAATTTTACTGCTCTGTTTAATGTGGGACATCATTTTTCATTGTGAAAACTAGAAAATAGTACTAGAAAACCAGTACTCACATTTAGGTTGACTGTATGACTTGAGAAGAGTACTAAAACCTAACTGCTTTGTCTCCCACACAAAGTTATTACCATCTTCAATTAGAGAGAAGAACAAACAGGTTCCTTACAAAAGCTCCCTAAATTAATATAAATCAGGTATCAGTTTTGTTATTACATAGGTGGATTGATAGAAAAATAGAAAGCAATCAGTGGGCAAGTAGAAATACAAACACCAGTAATAGAGAATGGTTTTGCCCAGTGTGGTAATGCATATGAAAACATTCACTTATATATTTTTTGGCTTGTGGTGGACCTTCTATTTCTGATTTTTATCCTTGCTTAATCATTGTAGTGAAAGATAGTTTTTTGATTAAACAATATTTCAGATGCTAACACAATTCTTTCTATGGGTTTACATTAGCTGTTCACAATCTGAAAACAAAACCACAATAGGCAAAAAAAATGGTGCTTGTAGACAGCTCTGGATTTTGAAGACTTTGCTTCTAGCCAAGAGTTTTATTTGGAATTATAAATCAATATCTACATTTTATTGATACTTAATAATTAGGAGAACAAATTATAATCAAAGAAATTCCTTGATCTTTTATTATCAGTCTCGCTCAGCATTTTTAAATTCTCTTAGAAGGATAAATTTGTAATCCACACTTTATAAGAGCTTCATTACCCTTATATTTTGAAGCCACACATTTGTATTTCATGAGATATTGTTCATTTACTTCCAATAGACCTTTAGTATTTCACTTAACATTTCTAAGTGAAAACAATTGGCAACTCATTTTTATAACACTTTTACATAAGGGGAATTCAAAAATACAAAGCTACCATTCGTCTGAGAGTGCTTGGAGTTACAAATTCATAATGTTAAAGTTTCAAGAGTTACAATTCAGATGAAACTTGCTTTTAAATACATGATTGTATTTTCAGTAGAAGTTACCTACATGTATGTCTTCAAAAACCTGACTGGTCTAGAAAAGTGAGTCCTTAAGACAGTCATGTTTTCTTTTGATTTTGTTATTTAAAAAAAAGACAAAACAGCAATAAACATTTTAGCTCTTTAATGAGCAAAGATCATGTCTCTTAGCACTTGACTAATAGTCATTATCCAGATTATCTTTATTTCACGCAATGACCAATGGCATGGTCAAGATGTACAAAGTTGTTTCCATCAAGTAGTATACAATTTTTTTCTTTTGTATAATAAGCTTTCATTCTTGAAAAAGAGTAACTGAAAAGAAAGGTTTCTGTTACTGCAGTTAGTTTGTCAGAGAAAGTTCTTTGCATTATCTTACAAACTATCAAAATTGCTAGTCATCTGAAAAAATGTAAAAAAAAACCACATAACTTTAGTCTAATAGAAATATAGTACAGGTAAGAGAGAAAGTATTTATCAGGATGTGCTCTTTAAGTCCATCTCATTTTTTTTAATATAAATGTACATCTGATTACATATACAAACATCTGGAAAGGTCTGTGATATACTGATATTACTGGTAAACATCAGGAGGATAAAGAGCTTCCTGTGGTCTTAGAATATTTAGTTGAAATCACACGTAAGTGTAAGACTAACTTCCACCAGGTGTTGACGTCCTAGCTTCTGTATCTATGTTGTACTCTACTGAGATTGCGTGAATAGATTCCAGTGAATGAACCTCAGTGAGAGAGGTAAGGGATGTGAAGGGGGACATAACTTTGTACTGAATTAGAAGCCATAAACATTTTGTCATGCAATATGAGTAAATCAATTTAATAAGAACTGTAATCTGAGCGGTAATAAGGGACATCCTCCTATGATTAAAAAAAACTGTTTTGATAGACTCATTGACACATTTCACCTTACCATAATTCAGAGTAACAAAAGCCACAACAAATTAAAGATCCTGTAACATGTGTCCAATTAGCATTGCATTTCTAGAGATTATTATTTTGATGGCAAAGAAAAGAACAATAAAAACACAAGATTTTTTCCCCTCTAGGATTCATATCAGCAAGTATTCACCACTATGCCTAAAGTTTCTTGAAATAACTTTAATAACTAATTCCTTCTATTATTGAGACTATCACAAATTATTTTATTATAATTACTTTTGCCCCTTAAAATCTTCTTTAGGTTCTGCCAATTGATGGAGGAAGCTTCTATTAAAAACTCCAATGGGATGAGAACAATTTTAATTACGGCTTAATCAGCAGCACAGCCACCAAGCATATAAATTATCATGCACATCGTGCTAAAAATATCCAGTCTCCTTTATGCCCACAACTTTATACTGACAGCACTTATGTGATATGTTGTACCTGCCAGTCTTTAGACTTCTTTGTTTTATTGGCAAATTTCAGCATGAGCCTCGGCTAAGGCCACTAACAGCATTGGTGCCTTGTGTGTACTTATCCAAATATGTAAATATGGTCTACACAATAAAACGGCTCCAAATAAAAACAGATGAAAATTATCTGACATTCCATTGGGGTGTCCCTTATGCATATTCATAGTTTTTTAATTTTAATTTTTATATTTCAGACATAGTTCTTTCCTGTTTGGTGTTCCACATGCCTAATTCCATTACGTAACTGAAATCTTCAAAAAAAATAAATCTTGAATGTGAATGTGGAAGTATCATTCAGAACAATTGCTTTACGCAATTGAAATTTGTAAAGTTTAAGCTCTTTGTGTATATATGTATATATATATACAATTCATTTTTTTCAAAACCCCCAAAGTTCTTGATATGTATATTCACACAATATTCCTCCTTATTTAAATAGTGAGAGTCTTGTAGGTTGAGAGCCAAGGAATCTTCAGTTAGCTTTTGCTGCAGTCCATCCAAAAAAAAAAAAAGTTTGTTTCTCCTATCTGGCTATACCCTGGTTGTTGAATGTGAATGGGGGTGGGGGTGAGGATGGGGCAGGGTGTTGTTCTGTCCTCCAGTGAATGTATTGAATGTGTGTAAGGGTTGGATTCCCGGTATCGTGTTGGGAATCATAGTAATAGTGTTAGGTGTCATTAAGGGAACATCGTCAGGAGACCTCCTCATAGCTAGTGTGTAATCTGGCGGGCAGGCGGTCCGCAGAACCACCTCATGTGGATGGATTGACTCACATTCATGATCCAAATCAGTGTGCTTCATTTGGAGGGACATGATCTCTTCTTCTTGTGCGTGGGTCAGGTCATTGGTGGTGGTACGCTGCGGGCTGCACCTCCTGTGCACATCGTGTCTCCTTTTATCCTTTTTGTAGTACAGGGCCGCAAAGGCTAGGATGTTCAGAAAGAGTAAAGATGCTCCGACTGCAATGGTGACGCTCAGCTCCGTTGAGTAGTCCCTTTGATCCACTGAAAACGGACTTGGTTGTTGCTTGGGATCGTCCTGCTTTGTAGTGGGAAAGGCTGATGTGACCGGTATGGAATTCTTCCTTGTTGGTCTGAGAGTGATGTCAGTTGATGGCACTTTAGTTGTTGTCGAGGTATACTGAGAAATGTCATTGAGATTATGCAGATGAGGTACCAGCTCCAACCACAGATTGACCTTGTTGGCTCTGTAATGCTCTTTCACTCTTGGTTTTAATCCAATATGGAGATACAGTTGGTCTTTCTGAGAATATCTGGTCCATGCTACTTCTTCAAAGCGATTGGGTTTGGTGTGGATGAATTTTGTGTCTTGAGGGACTGGTTGATTTGGGTCGCTAAGAAAGAAAAAGAAGAAATTATGAAAACACAACAATTATTCTATTTTTCATTGTCAAAAATACTACCAAGTTAGTATCTAATTGAAGAGGTAACTTAGCAAGATTTTATATATTAACTTGGCTCAATTTAGAAATTCAAATGTCCTAACAGGTAGATTAATAGATGATAACAGAAGACAAAAAAGTTCCATATTCTTATTCTTTGATTATATAGAGAAGGACTACTATCAACTTGAAGACTTTAAAAGAGTTATTTCAGTAGATACGTGCATGTGTGTGTGTGTGTGTGTGTGTGTGTGTGTGTGTGTGTGTGTATGATTTGTCTGATAGGTCACCTACATAAAATAGCATGAAAGAATAGAAAGTACTTAAAATTTCTAACAGATGAAGACTTGATTCCTGGTGCTACTACATATCAAACATAAATACCTGTTTGAACCTCTCAGAAACTCATATCCCTTCTATATAAAATGAAAAACTACCTCTGAAGGTAGTTGGATGGATAAAAAGGGAATTATGAACTGAAAACTACTATGAAACAATAGGAAGTCGTGTAACTAAAAAAAACCCCAAATTACATTTATCAACTAATACAATAGGAACATAAACTTTCTTACTAAACATCCAAAAAGCAAAACCTAATAAAGCAACAGCTACTTGACACATTGCTATATAGAACAGTTTTATAAATCTATTAAGTTATTTGGGGGTAAATACATATTGCATTAAAATATTCAAAGCACCATTTTGTAAAAGAATTAGAGCGAACTTCATTGTGTAGGTACGTACCCAGTTTTAGCAAAATTTGTCCAGTATGTCATTACAACTGCACTCAGCATCACATCATTTTTGGAGAAATTGCAAGGAAATAACTCTGTAGGGCCAATCATGGGGATTCCCAATACATAGGGAACCTCATCTCCATGGGCTGCATCAGCCCAGGCTGGAACCTGATCTGTTTGGCAATGATGGTAAAAGGCATAGAAGTATGTGGGTGAACCAAAGTTTGAGTGAAGATCTGCAGTAGCTACAGCAGGTGCCACCCACTGATGGTCCGTAAACAAAGCCAATAAGGTCTTCCTTCTGGTTTCTGGGTTATGGCGGTCAGCCCAGTCAGTATACATGAATTTAATAGTTTCTCTCAAAACATCTTTGCCTTCGGGGTATCCGTATAAGTTATCAACAAAATTGGAAACAGCAAAGTCGAAGTCACTAGCTGATATACCATCATCACTATCTACGATATTTTCAACGAATTTTAACCCTTCCCCCTGGTTAACTCCTAACATGATATCATAGTTGAGAAACTCTCCTTGTTCCATTAGGATCTGAGGGTCATCTGGTATGACATCACCGTCAATCACAGGTCCAAAGGCTATGTGGTAACGGGCTGGTTGAATATCTTGATCAATGAGTTCTTTGTAAGGCTTCTTCTGCAGGCATTCCACTAATTCTACTGTGTCTGAAACATTGCAGCCAACTTTGGTGGCCAACATTCTAGCATATTTTGCTGGCTGGAAACTAACAGCCCAGCTGGAAAGTGCTGTTCCACTTTGAGCTATTGCTCGTTGAAAAAGTCCTATGGGAAAATCAACAAAGAGTTTCAGATGATCTTTGTGAACATTGTGGTAAAAAAATAATATCTGATATTTTAGACATGTATATAAAAACCCAGGTACATTTCAAGAAACAGAGACATTATTTTTGCCTAAGAAAAGGTAAACAAGGTCATTCCCAGGGTATAATGAATCAGAAAGGTGGATCTGTGTCTTGTACTTTTGAGTTGCACCTGCTTGAAGTCTAAAGTTTGCAGTCTCAAAGAGGCTGGAAGTGAAAAGAGAAGAAGTTGTGAGTGCTAGAGATAAAAATAGCTCCAAGAAATTTCCTCAGTGAGGATGTCATTACCTTCTAGATACAGCCAATGCTCTCTTGACTATCGGATGAGACATGTATTGTCTATGTGAAATGTTTTCTTCATTGACTGTGTCTGTCTTCTTCCAAAATGACTAGATATGTTTGTTTTAGCTAGAGTTTATCTGAAAAATATTGTTGAATTTTGACACAACTACAGGGGTTGGAGATTGTATTTAATACCCTGGGGATGGCCCTACAGTTACACAAAACAGAGTATCACTTTAGACATCACCTTTTCAGATCTTCCTGTCAGATATAGTGTGTTGAATATTCACTTTTCATAGGAAGACACACATTTGAAGTATGCTTACTAGGCTAAAGAAAAATCTGTCAACAAGAGGATTTAGTGGGAGATGATTTACTCTTTTCCACCGCTGAATGTACACCTTTGTATTTTATCATAAAATAAAAACATGCATGGTCCACTGCTTCCTATTTAATTGTCCTAAAGAATTTTAAATGTGCTTCCTGGGCAGCTAGATAAAAGTTACACTCAATTTAAATTTATAAATGCACCTTACTCATTAGAGTGTTTTCTAATACAATTCTTATTTTGCAAATATAAGTTGCCTATTTCCATTAAAACGCTTTCCAATATTATCAATTTCTACATGCAGTTTTATTGTTCAATTACTTAAAACATGTTCAAATATTCATATAGGTTAGTGAGCAGAAAACTCTTCACAAAGATTCTAGTGTCTGAATTTGAAGTTTCACATTTTTCTTCAAAGATAGAGATATTTTTAAATGTCTGTAGTGTGCTCCTACACAATACTGAAACATTCAAAACATCTAAAAAGTATTACTTTGAATTTGTTTTGATTATCTAACATGTTTAGTTTGGTAGAATGAGTAAGAGAGAAAATATACAAAAACTTATGACTTAAATGTGTAGGCTTGGGGGTAGAAGGGAAGGGGGTAGACAAAGAACAGGGAGGAAAACACAGTAATGAAATTAAATGCATATTCTACACAATTAAGAATAGTGAAAGAAGGGTTAGGAGGGATGAGCATGCCAAAAGCAGTGACATTAATCAAGATTCATTGTATTTATATACTATTTGGTAGAATGGTGACTCCTTTGTACAAGTACTAAAAATAAAATTAAAAATAAATTGAGCTGAGAAATATTTTAATAATTTAAAATTTTATAACAAAAATAATCCTGGTGGTTTATAGAATATCTTCCCTAATGTAGGGATTGGATGACATTAGCTCAGTAAACCAAGGCAGATTTAATGGAAATTGCACATCATCTTTAGTAGTGCCTTTATGCCAGGTAGGTGGTATTGAGGAAATCATAAGAGAGTGCTGTTGAGTGTATTCATGGCTGAATTGGCACATAGTGGCCTCATGCCTGCACAATGTTGTATGCTTTTGATAAGTGTACAGTTTTCAAAGGTAAGTTTGCACTGGAGGTAGAATTGAGAGGCAGAATCAACCTGATGATTCCTGGAGACTGAACACTCCCTGCTGTGTCAGGAGCTCATTTTGGGTATGCATTCAGGACAAAGTAAAACCCAAACCCATGTTTTTGACCAGTTACAGAACCATTTGCCTGAGATTATGATGGAAGGTGACATTTTCAGCTATTGGCAAAGTTACTTGCCACTACATCCCACCTTGTAAATGATGAGTAAGTCCGTGAATCCTGATTTGTCTCTTTTTCTAATGTTTGTTTGAAATGGACCTGAAACTGACTTTGGTGCCTAATGTCCCTGACAATTGTGTGTGTGTGTGTGTGTGTGTGTGTGTGTGGCAGTACTGGGGTTTGAACTCAGAGCATTGTGCTTGATAAGCAAGTACTCTACCAACTGAGCCAGGCCTGGAACCCAATCCTGAGAATTATTTATAGATTGCTTAATGGTAACTTCTAAGTATTGGAACTGCTCTGGTTCTAAGACTAGAAAAATCTGTTAGTAAAACACAAATGTGTAGCTTCAAAATAAGCCAATTAATTATAGATCAAAATCTCCCTGTAGTTGAAAATTCTCATCTTCATTCTTGCTGCATTTCAAATCAGAATACTGATTTGAATCAGTATTCACATTCAGCTGGACACACTTCTGTGACTGCTACAATGAAAGACTGTTAAAAGAGGCTAACTCATTTATTATACCCGTGGTTGTTGATGTAACCCTAAATGAGATGCTATGTAAACCAGCTCAATAAAGGAAATCTATAATGAAACATGATTCTCTAAATGCATATACTCATTGAGACTCTATTCTGTTGGAATTGCAACTTGGTACCTAAAAAACAATTCTATTGGGTATTTATGTAATAAATTCAGTAAGTAAGTATCTTTATAAGTTACTCCTGTCAGTGTGTTTTAATTTTTTTCATGTATGTGAAATGACAAGTAAGAAGCTGAAAATAAGGGATGCTAAATGTTGATACATATTCTCTGTCTTCCTCTTCTTCCTCTCCATCACATATAAATAAATAATGGAGAGAGTATTTGTTTTTTTGGACTTCTGCAGCAAGCCTGTTCTTGTGGATATTTCAAGTTAATAAGGCATTTAGAATGAATGATCAACCACATGGCAAAATGGAGCTGATAATAAGCAACCTGATGTGCTTTGGATGCGCACTTTTCAAAAAGAGTGTCAAAGCCAGGAGATGGGAACAAAATAAAATAAAAAATCATATTTCATGGATTACAGCAGCAGCAGTGCTCTTTGCTGCTTTGCCCAGATTTAAGGGGGAAATAAAACCACTTTTCGAGTTTCAAATAGAAAAGCAAAAAATCAAATGTATTTTTCTTCTTTAATCAAAGGCTTTACTAGTGGCCTGGATGCTTTGACAATTTTGGATCGTGCATGCAAAATCCATTCTTTTCTCAGACAGCAACTGAAATCTCATGCTACCAGACAAACTAGCTTATGACTGTTTTATGAGTGTCATGTTAAATAAATAATAAAGGGCTAACCATATCATTGTCTTGAGAATAGATTATGTACAGTTCCTGCATTTATATAGAACTTTTATTTTGATTACTGAATAAACAGACAACTGAGAATGTTTTTACCTGATTTCCTCCCACAATCACCCTTTGAAGGAAAGAAAAATGAAAATATAAAGCTAACTCTACTGAGGCATAGTCAAAAAAGGAAACCTTACCAAACTCCACAGGGGACAAAGGAAAGACTCTGACGAAAAGTTTAAACATGCATAGAAAAACTGAAGAAACATGGCTTTGAACAGGTATTGAGTTCAACCTAACAGTCAGTTTGAACAGAGAACTATATACAAAGCATCACATACTACTGATGGTGGTGGCATGCAGACACCAAAATTGTCAAAATTTGCAACCTGCATAATACCTTTGGTTGAATTGCTCCAACGGTTACCTTCAGAATAATGGGATAAAGTCAGCAGATTGACACATGAACCCCCGGCACCGGATCCAAATACAGTGATTCTCAAGGGGTCACCACCAAAGAATCCGATGTTCTCGCTAGTCCATCTTAGAGCCTGTATGAGATCAAGAATGCCATAGTTTCCTTTTGCAGCCTGATCTCCTGTGCTGAGAAAACCTGGAAAATAAAAATGAAAACACCCTTGAGGACATTTGTTGGGATTCACAAATATTATGAAGACACTGTGTGATGACTGAAAGATAATAATTTTTTTAAAATGAGACATACAAATAAGAAAATATCTGTAATAAAAAGAAGGCATTGTATTTAAATACAATTGAAGCTTGTGTTGAATATAGTGAGAATGGTCCAAGTTTTTTAGTAAAAATATTTCCCACAAGATAAAATAATTTATAATAAGATCAGCAGTGCTTGAAACCTGTAGAGTTGATTTGCCCTAAATGCTTTCCTAATAATGTTAGCAATAGATCACTAAAGAAGATTAAGGGAATGAAAGCATTCTAAAAGACCTCAAGGGGGAGACATTCCAGACGACAAACTCTTTGAGACATTTGGGAAATATTATGCAATGTATAGGAATGTGAACTTTTTTAGTGGGTGTATTCCAGTCCTGGGGTTTGAACTCAGGACCTGGGTGCTGTCCCTAAGCTTTTTTTTGCTCAAGACTAGCACTCTACTACTTGAGCCCCAGATCCATTCCCAGGCTTTTTGGTGACTAATTGGAGATAAAATCTCAGGGGTATCCGTGTCAGACCTCAGCCTCCTGAGTAGCTAGAATTACAAGCATGAATGATGGGTTCCTGATAGGAATGAGAACTTTGTATAGGATACCCTGTCAGTCCTCAAGCTTCTTGGAGTCTATCATGGTTGGCATTTAAGGTGTGTGAAATAGACTGTAAGCATGTTATAGAAAGGAGGTATTTTTCCATCTCATAGGAGAACATTTTTAGCAATTCCATAAAATTATAACAACCTTTTTGTACATGGATGTATTGATGATTTTTATTTTTTGATGATGCTTCATTATTAGAAATGAGTAATTTAAGCTGAGTGTTGATGACTCATGTTTCTAACATTTATTTTATAAGAGGCTGAGATTAAAGGATCAAGATTCAAAGCTAACCCCAGTAGAAAATCTTTGGCACACTTATCTCCAAAATAACCAGCACAATGACTTGACTGGTTTGGCTCAGTTGGTACAGTACCAGCTGTGAGCACCAAAGTTGAGCTGAAGTAAATTCTATTGTTTCTAACAGTCTCTAATAGAAATACCCATTGATTGAAGAAATAAATCAATAACCAAAATGAATTTTTGATAAAGACATTCTTTGCAATCATTGTAGAAAGAACAGATCATGGCAAACCCACTTCTGGATAATTATGGAACATGTAAGAAATAAAATTTGGTTAAAACTTTTCCTATGAGGTCCAAAATTCTTAGAAACAGAAGTCCTATACTCTCTTGTGGAATGCTCATTTGTGAATCTTTGTGTAATCCTGGAAATATTAATTATCCTTGAGTTGAATGATTTTTGCAAATACAATATATCAACAATATAATTCTGTCTTTTTTTTACATACCCACTGTCTTTCATTGGATTTTTAGCAAACTTACATAGAAACATTGTTAAATACATAGATGATAATGAAACAAAAATAAAAGCTTGGCAAGAAAGTTCATATTTGATTGATACGAACTTTGCTAAGTGCTTCAGCCTACAAAGATAGACTGATGACATGGACACTGGAAAGAACATCATCAAACAATTACTATTAATTAGCTAGAAGGGAATCTGGAAGGATAAAAACAGGTGTGTGTGTGTGTGTGTGTGTGTGTGTGTGTGTGTGTGTGTGTATGTATTGTCTAAAAGACAGTATAATATTCTAAGTATTTTTGTTGTTGTTGTTGTTGTTGGTCGGAGGGCCTGAACTCTGGGCTCTTCAGCTCAAGGCTAGTGCTCTACCATTTGTGCCACAGTGCCACTTCTGGCTTTTTCTGCTTATGTGGTGCTGAGGAATCGAGCCCAGAGTCTTATGAATGCAAGGCAAGCACTCTACCACTGAGCTACCTTCCCAGCCCCCCAAAGTAGTTTTGTATAAATAAATGAATGCCACAATATACTTAAGTAAAAATTTGATTTCTGAATAGAGCTTAAGCTACTTAGTACAAGACATGGATTTTTGTCTAATTCCTCTTGAAATAATATTGAAAAGCATCAGCTATTTTCAAATGAATCTCTGTACAAAATGGTATAGTAATACAATAAGCTTCATTCCATGTGTAGCATGAGGAGAACCATGATAAGAAAATTACCTCTAATTGAACTCATTTTTTTTCTAAATTCCACTTATGTTTTCAATATTTCCAATACTATATAGCTGGTAGGTCAATTAATTTTGAAGTGATACAAGAATATTTCTAGGGGCTGGGAATGTGGCTTAGTGGTAGAGTGCTTGTCTGGCATGCATGAAGCCCTGGGTTTGATTCCTCAGTACCACATAAATAGAAAAAGCTGGAAGGATGCTGTTGGCTCACGTGGTAGAGTGCTAGCCTAGAGCAAAAGAAACTCAAGGATGGTGCCGGTGCCTTGAGTTCACTGAGCCACCTTCCCAGCCCCATTTCTGTCATTATTAAGGCCAGGCAGTCATTAGATCATCTCTCTTGAGACCTAGTAGAATGATCTATGGTCACATGCATCCCTGATGCTATGTTCAAACAATAACCTGGCGTTGAATACGTCCCCTCAGAAGAGTGAGTTTACTCAAACAACATATACTGACACCACTCCTTAGATCTAGTTCTTCACCAAAATTTGTTTAAACTTACTTTTTAATTGACTTCACTGCTAGACTCTAAATAGTAGAGTCATTACCTATTGCTCTAGTAGGAACTTTACATTGCATTCTTCGGCTCTACTCCAGCCATGAGGGACTTGAATTTTCCTTTTCTGTCACTTGTATCAGTCTTGTGTTGGGCCTCATTACCACCTCCTAGAATGTGTGACTAACTGATATTCTAATGTATGGACATTATTTGTCGTGTGTGTGTGTGTGTGTGTGTGTGTGTGTGTGTGTGTGCACGCATGTGTCTGCTGCTATTGGACTTGAACTCAGGACGTGACACTCTCACTTTCCTTTTTGTTTTGCTCAAAGCTGGTACTCTACTACTTGAGCCACAGCTCTACTTTTGCTTTTTGATTGTTTATTGAAGATAAGAGTCTCACAGACTTGCCTGGTTTTTTTTGGTTGTTTATTGAAGATGAGTCTCATGGACTTGCCTGCCCTGACTGGCTTCAAACCACAATGCTCAGGTCACAGCCTCCTGAATATCTAGGATTATAGGTGTGAGCTGCCATTCTCCAGCTCTTTCTTATTTCTTGCTAGACAGAAGTCATACGTAAGTGTCTGGGAACTTTATATGCAATGTATTATTTTTGAGTCCACATTATGAAGTAGCAAGGAAACTTGCAGTTCATCACTGTTGTGGCCTGAATACAGATGGCCATGGTTGGCTTTTAGAGTCAACTTGATAAGCTCATCAAAGCAGAGACCATATAGAATATTCCGGAGCCAGCCATGCAGACACAAGACTGAGGAACAGTGAGCAGTTTGGGAATACGGATTTGAAAAAATAGCTCATTAAGGATTTTCCATCTTACACATAAAGGGATTTTAAAACTCTAGGATTAAAACCTCCTGGGAATCTCCTCATCTAATTCTTCCCATCTGGTCAATGGCTGGCTCAGCTTTCAACCTCACATGATGGACTTACAGGTTTGTAATTTTTCTTGTAATTCAGAAGAAATGAGTTTTTTTTTTTACTTATTTCAAATACCTAACAAACAACTTTATCTTCTATTTGAATACCAAACTCATTTTAAAAAATGTCTTCTAGGGCTGGGAAGGTAGCTCAGTGGTAGAGTGCTTGCCTTGCAAGCATGGGTCCGATTCCTCAGTACCACATAAGCAGAAAAAGCTGGAAGTGGCGCTGTGGCTCAAGTGGTAGAGTGCTAGTCTTAAGCTGAAGAGTTGAGGGACAGCACCCAGGCCCAGAGTTCAGGCCCCACAACCGACAAAAAAAAAGCCTTCTAGTAGAAAGTGGGGCACTGAACTATGAAATAAAATTTTGAGGCTATACAAGAATGAATAATTGATCTTTATTTTTTGAAGAATATTTCAAGGTTTTTAATATTACTAAAGTACAGTGTTTTACATTTCCCCAAGTTGGATATACTTAAACAAATGTTAACACACATACATACTCACACTGAAAATTGCATCAAAGACCTAATGTTAGACATAAAGCTATCAAATTCCTAGAAGTCAGACCTGTAGGAAATTGTATTTGCAATAACTTATCAAGGGTAAATAACTTATAGAATTATTATAAATTAAAAGTAATGTTTTGACATAGAGGACTGTCTCTACACATACACACATATCAATTCAATACATATATACATATACATGTATATACTTATATATGTTTATATGCATATATGTATATTTATACACATATACTATATATACACAGATAAGTACATGTGTATATGGTTATATGTATGTATATATATATAGATATACTCCCTATATATATACATATATATATATATATATATATATATATATATGTTAGAAATATTATGTCTTTAGCCAGGTACCAGTGGTTTAAGCCTAGATCTTCAGGAGCCTGAATTCCAAACAATTGCAGTTCAAAACCACCAGAATTAAAAATTCCAGGATGAGCTCTACTAGATTCCAATTCCAAAATATCAGCAAAAAAATAGGCTGAATGTGTGATTTAAATGTTAGAGCACCAGTTACGCAAGTCAAGCAAGCATCAGACCCTTGGTCCAAACCTTCACACCATTTTACATCATTGAGATAAGCACACACACACACAAACACACATATACACACTTTAAACAAATAAGTTTAATATTTTACTCATTATTATTGTATCTAAATAAAATAAATCACTCTTACATTATTTGAAAAGATACATTTCATGAAAGTTACCCCCCCCCCACAGTGGTCAATAGGATTACATTTCCTGCAAAGGTCTTCATGTTATTCTGTAGAGGATAGTTGAGAAGCCATTTCAAAATACATGTTTCCTTCCTAGTTTTGATGAAAGAAATAACAGTAACAACTTT